AGAAATGTTGGGCTTAATTGTGGTTGTAAGTCAAGGACTGCCTGTACTAAAGGGCTTAGGTAAAATCATGAAATCATCATCATCATGAAGATCAAGTATATTAAGACCAAATAATAGCTTAGAGTCCATGTTACATGGGGTGGGGTGGCATGCCTTCAAATTCCAGTTGCCAGGCAATAATAGTGGCATAGGGACATGTTTCCATCCTCTCCATGTGAGGGTCTCAGTGGAAATTAGTTGGACATGTGGGAAACAAAATGCTAGACTGATTCAGTCCTTATGATCCTACATATTGCCTAGGTCACTAGCTTTGAAACTGTGCACTTTCAGGGAACATCTTCTGCAATGAGTTTATTTGCTATGAAATCTCTGGCCTCAAAAACCCTCTGTGTTAGAAGAACCTGGAGCACATTCAGTTCATAAAGAATTCTGGCCAAACCTGTTAATCCTTCTTGTCACTTTGCATCAACTAAGAATAAATCCTAAAATAACTTTTTCCCAACCTGGCATGCTCCAGATGTTTTGTGACTGCAGCTTCCAAAATACCCATTGGAGTTGGTAAATCATCCCAAACTGTTTTTTTTTTTCATGTGAGAGATCATGCCATTACTGATTTTTTGGTTGGGGTACAGTTGATAAGCTTCCAAGGAAACCAAGGTTTCTTGGAATACTATTTTGAAAACAACTAGCGGAGTGCATCTGGAATACATCTAGAGTAACACATCCCTCTGAATTTTAATCACAATGTTTTACTTATTTCAGAGAGGCTGGCAACAAATAGACAAAGTACTCTGGATGAAGAGACTCCTTTTTTCTTTCTTTTACTCTCTATGTATTTTTGTAAATATACTTCAAAGCTCAGTGTGAGATTTGCAGTTATGTGATCCAGTGCGTGACGAGAGTCTGTAGTATTATTCTGTTAGTTTTGCTGTGGCTCTTTGTGATGGCTCCTTCAGACTCTAGCTTGGATGAGGAGGAAGAGCTGGTTTCGGAGCTATCTTAGAAGGAGTATGGGGAGCATCAGGGAAAGATGGAAGGGCCGGAGGCAAGACAAAGTAGCAGTGGAATAGGACGATTGTGGTGAAGCAATCCTTAGAACGTTGGAGGAATCTGGAAGAGAGGGGCCGGAACAGCTGGCTGTGCAGTCCAGAGAGGACATGCAGCTGCAACCAGTCAATGTGGGACAAAGAGAAGTTGCCGCCCTTTCCCAATCCAAGGTTGTGCAAGGCCCAGTGGAGAGAAGCGCAGTAGAGATCAGTGAGACTAATCATGAGGAGATAGGCTTGCCCTTCTTAATGAAGTGCACTGGTTGGTGTCTACTTAAGAAGGATTTTGAACTTGATTGGTATTGGAGGAACTAATACTCCAACTTCAACAACGTGAATGTTTTGAAATCTTTTGTACTTTATTGTGCCTTGGATCTGTTGGAGTTGTGTTTGCCTTTGTCCTACTTCAACTCAGTGATATCATATTTGTCTTCGTCTGGCTTCAGCTCATTGGAGTCACGTTTGCCTTTGCCTTGCCTGAATTGGTGGGAACTGTGGTTGCTTTTGTTGAGCTGTGATCCAACAGGACTAGGGCTACTCTTAGGTGCTGTGGATTAAGTAGTACATCTTGCCTTACTCGTTTGGACTAGGCCACTTTTGGCCAGGATTGGAAAAGACTTAAAGAGGATGACCCCTAACACTTTTATGTGCATAGTGGGAACTTGAGGGGGATCCCCAAGGGTAGTTGTGTGAATAAACACATCTAACTCCTTATGGCATGCATGTACTTGCGGACTGGGGCAGGGCACCCTTAATGAGCACCAAGTTTCTGAAAGATTTGGTTTTGACACCATGCAAGAGGAGATTATGAGCAAAGCTTTGTGGAAAAAAACTTCTCTCTTGTAATTTCTGTTTTATTTTTGTTTATTTTTTTAGTGCTTTCTTGTTCATCCTCCTGCTATGTTTCATTATTACATGATGTCCATGATATTCGTGGTACCTAAAAATGACTATTCATGTGTACCATCCTAATTTTTGCTCGAACATCTGAAGTATCAGATAAAACATTATTTGAGAAATAGTATGTTATACAGTCGATTTGGTGGGAATACGTAACATCAGAAGACAATACAATGAAGTGGATTTCTTTAAACACATTTCCATATATAAATAATAAGTACACACTAGAAGCATAGCTATTAGAAAAAAAGTTGAATATCTAGTCGTTTAAGCAAGGCAGCCAATGCAATTTTATTTTTCCTTCAGTTGCTTCCAATTTTCTGTGTCCCACTGGATATCACTTGGCAAGGTCTGTCTGTCAGTAACAGCTCCTTTGAGTTCTAAGAAACTCTTGTTCATGATGTCAGTGATCGTATCTCGCCATCTTATCTTCTGTCAGTTTCTTGATTGCCTTCGATTTTCCCAGGCACCAAGGTATTCTCCAATAACTCTTGACTTCACATTATGTGTCCAAAATATTTCAGCTGAAGCTTCCAATGAATAGTCTGGTTTCCTTCATCTAGTATTGAATGTTTTGTTCTTACTGCAGTCCAAGGTCTTTTCCCCCCCACCATTTTCTGCAGTACCACACAATTCAAAGGCATTGATTTTCCTTCCTTCGGCCTTTCTAAGGATCCAGCTTTCACAGCCAAGGGCTACAATCGGAAAACCTACATCCTTGATAATACCTATCGTGGTTATCAATATAACATTTCTACATTTCAATATTTTGTGCAGACCTGTCATAAACTTTCTCCTAGGTAGCAAGGGTTTGTTTGTTTCATGACTACAGTCATCAGATTTGTGACTTTTTAAAAACAAAATTGGTCAAAAAGATAAAGTCCACCATTGTTTCAAGTCCTACATCTATTGGCTTTGATTTGGCATTGCTACTCACATAATCTTAGCTTTCTTTTTAATAGTTAATGCTAAAGAGCAGGCCAGCCTTGCAGGCTCTTTTTTAAAAAATTTTCAAAAATGAGCTTCCTTAAATCTTCTTCATTGTATTCTAGTTATGAAAATTGTATTATCAGCATATCTATGGTTATTAATCTTAATTTCTACTTCTTTTAGTTAAATATTTCTCATGGTATATTTTTTTTAATAAATTAGGTAAGCTGACAGGAAACAAGCCTGGTACAGATGGTCCTCAATTTACAGCAGTTCCTTTAGTGACTGTTCAAAGTTACAACATACTGGAAAAAGGGATTTATGACCATTTTTCACAGTTGCGACCTTTGCAGCATCCCCATGATCATGTGATCAAAATTCAGATGCTTGGCAATTAGTTCATATGTATCACTGTTGGTGTGTCCCAAGCTCATGTGATCTCCTTTTACGACCTTCTGACAAGCAAAGTCAATGGGGAAGCCAGATTTACTTAACAACCAGGTTACTAACTTATTAACTGCAGTGATTCACTTAACAACTGTGGCAACAAAAGTTGTAAAAATGGGGTAAAACTCATTTAAGAAATGTCTTACTTAACAACAGAATTTTTGGGCTCTATTGGGGTTGTAAGTTGAGGACTACCTGTATATCTTTCCCAATATTGAATCAATTAATTGCTGGTCTAACTGTTGGCACAAATTCTTCAGTTGCTAACACCTAATATGTTCATGTTTGTAAGGACTATTTAAGCTAGATAATGAGTTTAAAATATCCCCAATCTGCTGTGTTCTACGTTATTGCAAGAAAAACTGCATAATCATATCCATGTAATCTTCAGAAGACTTCGGTAATTCTCAGAGTTTCCACTTCTGTCTCCAGTGATAAATACATAAATCTAGATAATTTGTTTACATGCTATTGACCACTAAGTTGGTATTGACTCTTTCTGACCACGTAGATAGATTTTCTCCATGAAGCTCTGCCCCTAAGCTGCTTTTTCTAGCCTTCTAATATATGCTTCCCTTTATTGCATATTTATTGGCCATTATTCTTCATAGATTGATTATGTAAATTTTTATACCTCATTTTCCAGTCCTGAGTTCCTTTACTTAAATTCACAATATTGAAAAAGCAAATTTCTTATGAAAATGGGTACATATTTTATGTATAATTCTATCCAAACCTTTGCAGGCAATTTGGCTTACCTAATGTTTTTTATGTAGTTTTATAAAATGTAAATAGTTTGCTTTTATTCATGAATGTTTAAATACTTTTTATTCTATGTACTTTTCTCTTTTTTACGTAATTTTTAAAAATTTTCCCATTCTTTTTATGGGGGTACTCTGAACAGTTCATAAAAACTGAATAATAATTGCATTGTTTATTCTTGATTTGGTTTGTCATATGCAAATTAAAAACATTATATTAAAATGGGGATCAAACTAGTTTCTTCTCCATTACTTCTATCATATAGTATACAGAATTTAGGAACTATATTATTATTGACTAGTTATTTGTCCTGTTAACAGAAACAGAGTGTATCAAAAGTATAGTAGATAAAAGCTATTATGGTATAAAATGTCAGAACTGGACTACTAAGATTCAAGTACAGGTGGTTCTCAATTTACAACAATTTGTTTAGTGAACTTTTTGACTGAATTCCCCTTACCTTCATCTTGAATAATGTCATTTCTCTCTCCGTATCCTTATCTCTCCCTCTCTCCTCTGTCCCTTTCTCTCTCTCTGTCTCCCTCTCTCTTTCTCTTTTACACATACCACCCACCAACAACCATTTATTTTACCTAAATGTCTCCACAGTGGCAACCCTATACTGAATCCTTGATTTACAAATTATCCATTATAAATTGCTCCATTACTCCCAGAATATATCCAAGTTACCTGCTTCCATCTTGCAAGGGGCCTCTTAACATATTACAGTCTTTAATATGTTTCTGAAAATCTGCCCTTCTCTATCATATTGCATATTGAGGAACAATTTATTTCTCCATTTTCCCATTTCCAAGTCAGACAACTGCTATTTGTATGCCTATTATATAAATAAGAAAATAATAAACTACCATAGTAAAATTTCTGTCTTCCTCTTTTTTTTGTCCTTTTAAATAGCTATATTGCAAACCAGCGGGATTTAGAAAGCATAAATGAAATAGATGTTGGACTGTACACTGGATTAAGAAATTTGTAAGTATATATTTTAATTATGTATATTTAGTATTATAAATTACATATTTTGCCCACTTTATGTAAGCTTTATAATGGAATGTACTGAGGTCTTACAGGTGGCATTGTCTTCATTTATTTCATTTAACAGAAGCAACTCAACTCTGTATATTTGTGGATGTAATTCATGAAGCTGAGTATAATGAGTAATTATAGCAAATAGAAACTTTTATCACATGCATCACAGATGGTTGAATTGGGAAATAAAATAACAATTCTTGAACCAAAATGTATTCTGAAATTCCTTGAGCTATATGCTATACTCTCCATAAATAAATGAATGGACGATACATCACTCAGTAATTGTAACTTGTGCTTGTGTACTTTTACAGAACTGTGGTGGACTCAGGCTTGAAGTTTGTCTCACGCCAAGCTTTCCTGAAAAATATTAACCTACAGTACATGTAAGTTAAAACCCACTTTATGACTTTAGAACAAGCAGGATAATTTAATTACCAGTGGGGACTTAAAATATTGTCTTCCATATATATTGCTGGATTCAGGCTTGCGGCTGGTTGCCACTTTGTAAAATCACTTTTGTTGTTCAGTTGCTAAGTCATGTCCAACTTTTCCTGACGCCCATAAACCACCTATCACTGTATACAAGAGCAAAAGAAATCTGGAAAAAGACAAATATAAGTATATAAGTATAATCTTTATTGTAATTGTATTTAAATACAA